CCATTATGCTTAGTCAAATTTTAAGATTTTCCCATATTTGCATCAATTATTTTAAGAAAAATATAACATTACAGATTTAAGTAAAGCTCTGCTTGTACCCTTTCCAATGTCACTACCCACGCCAAAGGTAACTCCAACCTGGAATCAGGTATCTACCATTCTCATATGTTTTTATTTTCTAATGCCTATGTATACATACGCTCAAAATACAGACTTTTTAAAAAATAAGGTAAGTGGTATCCTTCTTAAACTTGAATTTTGTATTCATTAGCAATGGCTTATTTACTGTAACTGCTGTAAAGAATTTCACTCTAGATAAGAATTCATTAGCCCATTTGTGTTCATGGACATTTGGGCTGTTTCTGTTTTTCTGCTATTAACACAGAGTTGCCATGAACATTCTTTTATCTATCTTCTCGTGAACATGTGATAGTTTCTCTAAAGTAGGCCCCAGGTCTACCAGAAAAAATTTACTAGGTACTGCTATATAACTCTCCAAAGTGGTTGGGCCATATTCTCATTTCCACTTGGTCAGCAAGAAGACAAGAGACACTGCATCTTCAATCATACTCACTTCCAATGGAGAGGTATTAATTCATCCTTTCTTACCCAAGGCCCACATACTGAAAATCTGCATTTATATCACTTACAAAGTGCATCAAATTAAAACACTCACTAACTCTCAAATTAAGAACTTTCTTAAAATTGTTAGTAAATTATTCCTTCAAATGAGAATTTCAAGGTTGTATGGAGTCCCATGTATCTAGTCAAAGGACAGAGATTTAAAGCAGTCTTAATGGTTGTAGACTATTAAGTCTTATAAAGGAAAAAAGATGTCATCCAGTAGCATACAAAGAAAAACTTCACTAATCACTTCATTCAAAGAAAATTCTCCTCTAATTTAGTGATTCTTAAAGTATAGCCCCCAGACCACCGGCATTGGACTGAGACATGAAGAAACCCACCCCAAATCCATGAATCATAATTTTGGAGGTGGGGGGACCCCACCAATCAGAAACCTACACTGCTAAACAATCATGCCAGGTGATATGTATGCTCACTGAAGTTGCAGAATCACTGTTGTAAGTAACGTGATTTTTTAAACTCAACTATACTGAAACACCTAGGTTACCTGAGAATCACGAAGCTGATTATGAAAACGCTGAATTAAGTCATTCAGTTCTTCATTTAGTTCAGATGTGATACTGACGCCAGATAAGCTACCTGCGGTTTCTGCAACAACTGGAAAGAAATTAATAACTATTGATTAATATAAATAAAACACTTTTAATCTCTGAGAAGCTAAAAATAACTTTTTAAAAAAAAACCTTGAAACTAGTTAACAATCCTATCTATCTGCCAACAATCATTTTATTAGAAGTTTCCATCTAACTTAAAAATGAAGGGATGGTCACAAAACTCTAGTAAAGTGATTCATCTTTTTCTGTCCCAACATACAAGGAGGGTTACTATTACACCCCAATTAATAGCAGTGACTCAGTGGAGCAGGTCTGTCTAAGGTCAGTGGGGAGTGGAAGGGAAAGTGATAGTGTAAAAAAGCACAGCTGATTCTGACACGTTTCCATCTCCATGTTCTTGAATAGAATCAATTCCCTGGTAGAGCGGCTGGCAAACTTTTCTTAAAGGTTCAAATAGTAAATATGTTAGGCTTTGTGGGAAATACAGTTTTTGTCTCAACCACCCAGATCTGCTTTTACAGGGTAAAAGCAATCACAGACAATGTAAACAAATAGGTATGGCTGTGTTCCCTAAAACTTTATTTCAGGCAATGAGCCAAATTCAGCTGACAAAAGTTTGCTGACCCCTGTAATAAAATGGATAATTTACTGACGTGGCTGTTTGTGATACAAGTCATACTAAAAGACTGTGGTTTTTATCTTCTTAATTTAAAAATAATGTCCCCATATTCATAAAGCAGTTTTGTGACAATAATTTTCCTAACAGTTACTGTTCTACTAATGAATAACTCCATCCTTATCCTCACTTGTAACTCTCCAACTCCACAATAGACATCGGTGGCGAGGTACAGTGTCTCACACCTGTAATCCTGAAACTTTGGGAGGCCGAGGTGGGCAGATCACTTGAGCGCAGGAGTTCAAGACCAGCCTGGGCACCACAGTGAGACCCCATCTCTACAAAACTACAAAAATTAGCCCAGCGTGGTACACCACGCCTGTAGTCCTAGCTATTCAGGAGGCTTGGGTGAGAGATTCACCTGAGCCTGGGAGGCAGAGGCTGGAGTGAGTCAGGATCACGCCACTATATTCTAGCCTGGGTTGACACAGCAAGACTGTGTCTCAAAAAAAAAAAAAAAAAAAAAGGAAAGAAAAAAGACAATTGGTTAAAAATGGCTACTGTTTTAAAGGAAAACACTACCTTTTTTCCACTGAGAACTGAGAATATCAAGGCTATATGGAATCCTATATATCTAGTCAAATCTCTATGCTGAGAAGAAATTACAGTACTGATAACACATGTAACTTGCTAGTTAAGTGGTGAAAGGGACACGCTTTGAGGTAACATAATTATCCCAAGATAATATCTCATATACCAGATTAAATACTGTAACTGTAGCTTTTCATGGCTGTTCATTAGTACGCCCCTGCAAAATCTCACAAATACAAGATTAAATTTGTTTTAAAATTACTAAGCTAAAATTCTTTTTGAAACAGTATGAAATAAATTCAAACTCATGTGCATTCTACTCCTATTCTCTGACTCATAATAGTGTATTTTTTAAAAAGAAATTATCTGCTTACTTTCAAAAGTTCATATTCAGAAACAGAAACAAGACCCCTGACCTAGAATTCAACAAATGTAATTCTGCTAAAATTCTATATAAATCTAGGCAAGTCACAAACTCTGTGGAGTTCCTTCGCTACAAAACAGAAATAAGAATTAAAGCTCTGAGTAACCTAGAAATCTCTGATGATCAAAGGAGATTATGTAAGTTTAGAGATTAATAGAACTATCAAAGGAAAGCTTTTAAATTTGATATTTCAAACTCCAAAAATATTTAAAAGGTTAGTCATTAACTAAACTAGTATTAGTCATTATGTTAAAGTATTTTAATTATCATTTCCTAAATTATCTATTTTCTAAATATAAAAGTTAATGGTACTTTAAATTTTACAACAGAGAAATGGGGACAAAAATCTTTGTAATTATTACTATATACAGCTATGTAATTATTACAAAACAGTAAGTTACTGGCCAGGCAGGGTGGCTCACGCCTGTAATCCCAGCACTTTGGGAGGCCGAGGTGGGCAGATCACGAAGTCCGGAGTTCGAGACCACCCTGACCAACATGATAAAACGCTGACTCTACTAAAAATACAAAAATTAGCCAGGCATGATGGCAGGTGCCTGTAATCCCAGCTACTCAGGTGGCTGAGGCAGGAGAATCGCTTGAACCTGGGAGGCGGAGGTTGCAGTGAGCCGAGATCATGCCATTGCATTCCAGCCTGGGAAAAAGAGCAAGACTCTGTCTCAAAAAAAAGAGTTAAGTTATTTGAAAGTCATAACGTTCCTTATGAAAATGTAAACTTAAATTAAGTATAACAGGGATTAGACAGTTGAGTCAGTGGGCTAGGTTTGGACAGCAGAATAAACTGATGCACAACAGCGCAGCCTCAGTGAGAACCTAAACCACCTTGCAAAAACAGAGTGCTCAAAGGAGAGAAATTATTATTAGAAGGGGATGGTGGGGAATAGACTACTAGAAAACATAACTTAGTTTTGTTGAGTTTCAATAACTAATCTTTTTTTTTTCAATTTAATGAGACACTAAAATACTTAAGTTTGAAGGTGATGATAAACTTACAAAATCAGATTCAATACTAATAAATTCAATACAATTTTCATCTAAATCACACATGGCTATGAGGAAAGGAGGAAGAAAATTTCTAAGTCTCAGGAAGTATAGACTATAAATACAGTTCTAAAGAGCTAGTATATACAAAAGGATACCTAATTAAAATAACAGCTACTACTAACTTTGAAGACTAAAGATACTTTATAAATTTATTCACTGCCTCACTTAAGGTTTTAACCCTTTCTTGGGAAGCAAGCAAAGAATGACAATCCTAGCTGAATAAAATAGAAAAAAAGGAAATAAATGCATCACAAGCCTTATCAGTCTGAGGTACAAAAACAGAACTACAGCCTGTCTCTTTTACCTCTTAAGGGTACTCTCTGATGAAAAGAAGAGCGATCTGGCTGTCTGCATGGTATAGTATGATGGCCAGGAGTAGTCCCTGCAACCTTTTCTGCATAACCAGAGAAAAGCACAGGAAAGTATAAGCCTCATATAAAGGTTTCTAAACTAGACAACAATCAAGGTCTGATTATGTAATAATCAGCATCCACCCTGCAATACAATTATGTATGAGTCTTCCTTGCAAAAAGAATATTCTCAGACTGTGACATACCAGAATCATCCATCACTGCAATAGCTTGCTCTGCTTTATGTTGCAGAGCTAGAAGCGCAGCCTGCCGTCCCTGTAGAGCTCTTAGTTGCTCCTGTTGTTGTAACATTCTTTTTAATAAATCATGTTGTTTCTTCAAATTTTCTATCTCTTCCATAGGCTCCTGCTGAGGATCTCTGGCCTGGAAAATAAGACCAACAATACTCGTATCTGACTATTAAAATCCACGTTGCTGTTTCAACTATCAATGGCAAAGTATACACATTGATAACAAATTATTAAATATACAACCCTAAATATAGTTTTAGCAGACATCAAGAAAAAAGAGTAAGAATAGAATGATGACACAGAGATACAGCCTGCCACTTAAGACTTAGGTAATTTCACAGTAAAAAGCTATATAATCAATGGCTTAGCAGGAATAGGAACGAACAAAAGGAAAAGAAAAAGACACACAAAACATAAAAAAGGCCAAGAGGGATGGGGACGGATACACACACACACACACACTGAAAAATCTAGGCCCCTACAGAAAAGTAGGAGCACATTATGCTGGGTTAATGACCTGAAAGTCTTGTAATCCCAGCACTTTGGGAGGCCGAGGAGGGCAGATCACAAGGTCAGGAGTTTGAGACCAGCCTGACCAACACATGAAACCCCATCTCTACTAAAAATACAAAAATTAGCTGGGTGTGGTGGTGTGTGCCTGTAATCCCAGCTACTTAGGAAGCTGAGGCAGGAGAATCGCTTGAACCCAGGAGGTGGAGATTGCAGTGAGCTGAGACTGACTGCGCCACTGACCGCCAGCCTGGGAAACAGAGCGAGACTCCGTCTCAAAGAAAAAAGAAAAAAAAAAGAACAAAGATTAGAAGTAAAATTTAAAAACAACAACAACCAACCTAGGAAACAGGCACACATACTATTTCTAACAAAGGACTGAAATTTCAAAAATACATTTTTTATTTGATAATCTTATGTAAAAAGATTTTAATTGTATCACATTATCAGACATATAAGAAAATAACAAATTTTATATTATGTATCAAAGACATCATTATTTTACTCTTAAATTATGCTGATTCATCTGAGTCTGATGACATAAAATGGAAGTAAATACTTCCAAATTCCCTGAAAATGCTAGGAAGTTATCATCTAATCTAAAAGTAGAGGGATGGATTAAATAAGTGGCACTTACAAAAAATGATGAAATTTTAAGTGTTAATCTTAAAACTGCTCAAAATGTAACCCAACAAGAAAATGGAAAAGCTAAGCAGAGACAAATTTAAATACAACTGGAAACAATATATTACAAGCTAAATTATATATTGAAATGTATACCATGATTGTATTTTTCATCACCGATTTACCTTTTTAAAAGTCTTTTATTTTAAAAGTTCAATGATTTTACCTAATACTTACATAAAATATATCACTTTTGTTTCACTTAGTCAATTTTAAATCTGCACTGCTAACAAATATTGGTTGGGGTTATGTAAATTTTAAATAAACAAATGACTAAAGAGAGCAAAGAAGTTCAAAGATTTCTTTTGAAAGTAAAAATGCACTGATCTACACTTGCTATGCACATTTGATTCCTGGAGAAATTATGGAGCACACAGACGGGCTCAAGAGAAACTCCCTTCTGGGTGACATCCTTTACCAATACTATATAAAAATTTCTTCACCTCCCCACGTAAAACTCATCAGTATTGTGAATAAGCATGAGTAACTGTGGTAGTATTTTACACTTTCACTTGGAAATCAATAAAATTAATAAGTAAATAAGTACAAGGCAAAGAGTTAAATATTCAAGAAAGTTATGATCAAATAGGAAGTTGGCTATAATTAGATTATTTCATGTAAACATCAGAGGTGCCTAGTCAGTGCCTATATATCCTAGACCATCTCTAGACTTCATGAGCATGGGAAACAAATAGGCTACCTGGATTTTGGTAACCCAATATTTATTAGAGGTTTTCCTGTTGTCCTGAACCTCTAAAACTGAAACTTTTAATAAATTAAGTATTGTTTACTCAGTTCTCTCCTATGCTATGTAAGGGGAGTTACTTTATAAATATTTACATCCATTTCTGTGGAAATTCATCCTAGTATGGCTTATTTCCAGACAGTTTACATCTTTAGGAAAAAAAAACTTTGAAGGGTAACGATAATTATCAACAGCTAGCCCTCTCAGAATGCAGCAAAAATAATTTTATAATGATTTCATCAAAGTCAACGGTAAAATGTAAAACCAAACCAAACAGGTACAGATATCAAAGGAACGAGTAAAAAAAAAATCCCCAGGTTGATCAAATACCCTCTAGCAAAGCATAAATTATAATTAGGAGAAAAAAATTATGCAAATGAGAAAAAAGCATACTTTTTAAAAAGTTCTTTAATCCTTATTAGTCACAAAACTGTGATAACCTAATTATAAAGAATTCTAAGCTATTAAACACAATTATCTTCAGATTTTTCACTAATGCAAAAATGAATTCTCAACAATTTTCAAAATTAGTGAAGTCCTACTACTACATAACTTTCACATTCATATAAACATTTCAGACTGATGCTCAGAAAAACTGAGCCAATAGATGGGAGCCTATGATGAAATATACAGAAGAGGAAAAAATAAAAATATCTAGGTAGGAGTAAGAAGATACCAGGAAGATGGCATCTGGCATAGAAATCCAAAAAGGATGCTAGGTGTATATTAATGCTTCAAATACATATTTTTCTTTAAACTTTTTTTGAAAAAGTCACCTTCACCAACTACGTTTTTCGTTCATAGAATAAAAAAATAACTTAGGCATCAAATCCTGAGTTGTAAATATGTAACAGAGCAATTTCAGAGAAGCCTCAATCTTCCTTTCCTCTACTCAACTGAGGTTCCCCTAGTAATTATTAATGGACCCAAATGTATTTTTCCAGCTTCAGATAATTATGTACTTCAATTTCTTAACGTGAAGGGTGAGGAATTGTAAGCCTAGAGAAGATAAAGCTGTGACTTATTCAATGTCACAGTTAAGGGAAATCGGGTTCTTAGGCTCCAGTCTTCTTTACGTCATATTGTCTCCTCCAAATTATGCGCTGGTTTCTAAATACAAAAGTATAAGACATCATATCTGAAGAACCATAGCTGCTTTACAAAAGACAGGGCAAGCTCACATGAAATAACGAGCAACGATTAAAATAATGGCAAAACACAGGTACAAGGTACAAAGAAAGCTTATAAATTTTAAGAGGTGAGATTAAGTTGGGGGCCATGAGTATAGGAAAATAATGAAGGCATGGCTACTCATAGAAGGCTTTCTTTTGTAAAATTATGCAAGATGTCATCATGTCTTAAAACATTCCGTAAAGTAGAACGTGCCGTTGGTAGGCAGCTCTAGAATATCAATCATTTCATAACATGTGTAAGTCTCAAGGTTGCTTTCAACCCTGAATTTCATGTAAGACCCTCAACTACGTTTTCCGCTATTCTAACAGAAAATACTACATTTTGAAAAGATTCTAAGGAGGAAAAGGGGGTGGGGTGGTGAGAATGACAGTTCCTGCACAGTAGAGAAAAAATAAACACAGGTAGTGGGAATTAAGATTTCTTTCCCTGAAGAAATTAAAATAATTTTGCAAACAGAATACTAACAGAACGAGACAGCCTTAAGAATCAACAAAGTCAAACTGGAATAAACACCATAAGCAAATTCAAGACAGAATAGTATTCACCTATAAGGATATTATTCAAAGAAACCTAAACACAGAAAAGTGGTTTTTAAATTGTATGTAATGCCTTAAGAAAAAAAGAACTGGCAGATACTGTATTAACTGTTAACTCTTAAATTTTGCTTGTCACTATTCAGAAGGATTAAAGAGAAGAAACTTCCAAAGGTTACCGATTATGCTTCATGTTTATTTGCTCTTCTCCAATGCTACTACTTTTTAAAATAATCAGCTACTTTCTTTACTGTTGAACTGGGGAAGCTTTTACTTGATACTTGATGTAGTAAGATTCCCGTAACTAATTTCAAACTGTGCTCCCAAATTGTTGTAGGAACCAGAATAAACAAACACAAAATGCCAAAATATCTAGAGGTTAAGTTTTATCACTTATAAATAGCCACACACACCCAAAAAAAAAAAAAAAAAAAAAAAACCATAAAATGAGCATGGGAAACAACTAGCCTATCTGGATCTTGGTAAGCCAATATGGGAAAGTGGGAGAGTGTAGTCCTAGGTAATAAACCAGTAATAAAATATATGAAATTAGTCTTACCTATACTCAATTATTAAAACAGTACCTTGCTCCTGCCAACAGATACATGCACTTTTATAAATGATATTTTTATTCAAACTTTTTTTTTTTGGAGACGGAGTCTCGTTCTGTCGCCCAAGCTGGAGTGCAGCGGCGTGATCTCAGCTCACTGCAACCTCCGCCTCCAGGGTTCACGCGATTCTCCTGCCTCAGCCTTCTGAGTAGCTGGGATTACAGGCTCACACCACCATGCCTGGCTAATTTTTTGTGTATTTTTAGTAAAGACAGGGTTTCACTATGCTGGCCAGACTGGTCTCGATCTCCTGACCTCATGATCCGCCCGCCTCGGCCTCCCAAAGTGCTAGGATCACCACGCCTGGCCCCATCTAAATTTATGAACACGAATATCAGAAATAAAGGGCAACTGACTGATGGCTGAGGTTTAAGAACATGTTATAAAAAAGGGAATAAATTACATTTCAAAACCTCTGTTAATGTAAATTAAAAACAGCTGTCAGATATAATCCATGGAGAGGTACATAAAAAAGTAGAAAAGAAAAACATTAAGGGACAGAAGTTTACTAAAGCAAATTACAGTATGACAACTATATTAACAATATGTAAGTAATAGCAACAACAGAAAAGCAAATAAAGAAGAAGTAGTATGAACAAAAGAAGTGCTCATTTAAAGACTTCCCAAGTTAATATTGGAAAGTATACCTTTGAGAGAAATCCATGTTTTCGGCTATATTTCCTATTAGGCCTCAGTTCCCTGTCATTCTGAGGTCTGTCATCTTTCCCTTTCGGACTTGTAGTAACGTCAATGTCTGAAACCTGTTCTTGTGAAGCTGAATTCCCTAGTTTGTCCTCAATGCACGGCCGAACTCTCAGACTAAAAGATGCCTCCTCCTTTATTAAATAGTGTAGCATATTAATTTCTTAACACAAACTCCTGTTTAACATATAAGCCAGCCTTATAAAACAACTTAAAAAGTACTAGTCCACCTTTAAAAAAAAAAAAAAAATCAATCCACATCCCCCTCCAAGTGGCAGTAAACTTAGTCTTTTAAGTTTTCTGTAGACTAGACTGTTGCTTACTGTAATTAAGCAAGTACCACACCCTGGGTAATTACCACACTACACAACTGTTAAAGCACATTTTTAACATTTATTCTGCTACATGTTATTAGCCAACTTTCATATCATCATTTTATATTATGAAAGAAACTGTCATCACAATGAATACTTTATACAAATTACAATACATCTACACAAGTTCCCACCCCTTCCCAACAGAATTCCTTTACCCACATTGTCCTAACCCTTCCATTTCTGCTGGAATCTAAGGAAGAAATTATGCCTAGCACCACTGTAAATAGAAAAACAATTTCCCCACAGTAAAATCCATTCTTCAACAACTTTGGCTCTCCAAGTATCTCCTGTTGAAAATAATGTAAAGAAAAGAAATTCAAATTGCCTCTTCAAATTAGGAAGGTCCGGGAAGAGAAAGGAGGCAGGTAAGAACTATGCGGTCAATACTAACAGGAAACAAACTTTCAAATTCCTAATGCTGCATGGCATTTTCAATACCTCAAAACCCGAAGAGATACATGCTTATCCTTTCAAAACAAAAGCTTTACTAATCTGTAATAGGTGTTAAAAGTTTAATAATGCACGGTTATAGGCACACCTGTTTAAAATGCCTAGAAACACCCTAGCATTGAACCACAACAGGTTTTATAAATCTTTCCTCAAAGTTTTGTAAATTACTATTTTTTAGAAAAGCAGTACTTTACTTCAACAAATTTGATTTTGCAAAGTCAGCAATTATAGCATTTTTCTCATTGTGAATAAATCACAATGTAAATGCTATCCTGTCCCATTTACTAGTTTTTATCTCGATTTTTCAGTCATCTGGCTTTGCTCCAGTACTAGGATAGAGTCCAAGAAATGAAAAATTCTGATATCCTTAAGGAGTCCTCAGTGACAAATGAACTTGGTTATTTCCAAAAGACTATATGCTAAGTAATCACTAATGCTGCCTATTGCCCTTAATTCCACCATCAATTTTAACTTGTTTGATGCTTCTTAAAATTAGTGAAGCTTTGCTTAACAAAACAAACTACAAAAACAATGTTTCTATAAATTGAAGATCAAAAATTACATTTTCAAATCAACCATTAAAACTATTTTTAGCGTTAATAAATAAAACTTAACTTCCATGTTTAAATACAGAATACATGCAGCATTAACAATTTGAGGGTTTCTTCCCTGGAATACACTTTTCATTAAGGAATGCCTAGAAAATAACATCTTGAAAACTGGGAGAAAAGTTTAAACCTTCATTTCCAGCACTTTAATTACCAAAAAGCTGCTTACCGTGGTATCTGAAGCCTCAGACTGCACATCTATGTTTAGCGATGTGCTCTCAGCTACAGAACCAGATCCCACAGCTGAATCTATAGTCCGAACATCCTCCTCCTCATTTTCTCTAGCCTGAAATATTTTAGTGGTATAAATCATACAGCTATTAAAATGGGCAATAAAATGTTATAATGGATGGCACGATTTTTTGAAAATACGTTAACTCCTCTGGCGTGGCAACAGAATGTCATCAGTAAATATATACTGAGATACTACAAAAATAACTCAATATATTATCTTAAAAGTCTAATACTTACAAGGATTTTTTTAAGAAATTTCATATATGACTTCTCTTGTTCTTTAAGGTGATCTATTAGATGAGTAAGGCGCTCAACATTAGCAGATCTCTCATTTTTCTCTACAAGATCTTCCCGCATGGAACTAGCTTTAGTAATATAATCACGAATTTGAACAAGCCTGCTTACAATCTGCAGGGGAAATATTTTAAAAAAAAAAAGCATGAAAGCACACAATATATAAAACTGAGGATAATTAGTTCAATAGCAACAGTTTAATTTTTATTTCGAAGATAATGAAAGATACTTGGATTATTGTGTGAATTAATACATGCAAAAAATCGGAATTCAGCTTAGATTTTAATCAAAACATAATTAGTAACACTAAAAACTCCAATCACTGTCAATTTAAAAATAAATTTAAAAATTTTAATCTACAGTATGTGAAAAATTTTACTTCTACAACTGCACACTAAACTATTTATATAAATTTTCCTAACGTTTACATAAGTTATAAATTATACGTATTATAGTTTTGCAACTACTTTCCAAAATTATAATATTGCCATTTTTAAACATTCCTACAAAAATCTACTTATCACTTTGCTTCCAATCCCCCTTTACTAAAAACTGGCAATATGCTATATTGCAAATAAACAGAAAGAAGCCTTAATTAACCTGAATATGCCATTTCTAAAATTATTTTGGATAAACAGAAATTTACTCTATTTTAAGTAAATCTGGCAGATTAAGGAAGGGGATCAGTGAAGCACTTTAATTCCACCTAACTAAAATTCCTGTGTGCATAACCTAATTTTTTACATCTTAATGTTAGTATTTTGAGGTTTGTGAAAAGAATGAGCAAAAGAAAGAAATGTTATCACCTGGCTGCTCTCCATTGCAGGTTCTCCCCTCCCATCTTCTTCAGACACCTGACAGTTTTGCAAGAGGTCATTACTTAGAGCAGAAGCAAACAACTCTTTACATTGTGCTGATCCAATCGTTTCTCTGTTTGGGGGACTTGTAGATGCATCTTTGCTCTTGTTAGTATTAATCTGCATAGGCAAAAAGTTGAAGGGCTTTCGGTTTTCACTAAGCTGACGTTTGTTGTTAGCAGCTGTTGCTCTACCTTGAGAATCACTTCCAATGCTTCTCTACATATGAAAAAGAAATCAAATCACACAAACATTAATCTTACGACAAAATTTTGCTTTAACCCCAACGTTCTTAGTTTCACCATCAGATATTGATTCAGAAGGTGCGCACAAACAGCTTTGCAGTAAGAACTGAAAGAGTTTTGGCTCTGTTAACAGTCTTTCACTAAAATATGAAAATTTGATTAGCATTTTCTAGACTTCATTTTGTTGAGACAATTCAACCGATGAATATGAACAAGATTAGTCTAAATGAAGTACAGGTTGAGTACTCCTTATCCAAAATACTTCGGACAAGAAGTGTTACGAATTTCACTTTTTTTCAAATTTTGGAATATATGCATAAACATGAGATACATCCTGGGAAAGAGACCTAAGTCTAAACATAAAATCCATTTATGTTTCATATGCACCTTATACACATAATCTGAAGGTAATTTTATACAATATTTTTAACAATTTTGTGCACGAAACAAAGTTTTGATTGTGTTTTCACTGTAGCCCGTCACACAAGGTCAGGTGTGAAATTTTCCACTCATGTCGGCACTTAAAAAGTTTTGGATTCTGGAGCATTTCAGATTTTCGTGTTAGGGATGCCCAACATGTCCTAGGACCATGGATCACGTTTTAACTCATACTGTTTTTTATTACTTGCTTATAGTATTTTTATAGGCTTTGGACCCAATGAATCAATGTAATTAAAGCTGTGTCTATATGAAGAACTGTCTGAAAAAGTATTCAGCTCAGGGCCTGACAGTTAAGTGTTCAATAATTGATAAGATACAAATAAATGATACATGATCATCACCAACATCATTATCTGACTTGAATCTACCTTTCTACATTTTTGGAAATGTGTGTGTCTCTATGACATAAAGATCTGACAGTAAAATATTTGTGAAGAATTTATTATCATTTTTACTTGCTTTTAAGATCTAAACTTTATTTTGGTGACCATAAATAGAAAATAGTTTCATTCTAAACTTGAGGTAACCCACCACATCCCACACTTAGCCAATGATATATATACTAAACTGGAACTTTCCATTACTTAATATCAATTTTATTCAGTTACTAAAAAGCAAAATTTAGTTTCATAGTAAAATCACTTGAGTTAATCATACAACATAGTATAAAGTCCAGAAATACATGTCTTTAGCAAGTTTAGAAATGAGACTTCATTTCCCTCTAAACAACACAGGACCATCCCCAGTGATGAAAATTCTTTTCGTAGGCACAGACACTTTTTAAAAAAATAACATAAAAACTCAATTTTCTATTCCTAAGACAAATTATTTAATCTATTTCAAGTGTTTCTCACAGTAATAACTTGATTTTTAAAAATAATTCACAAACCTGATCTAAATCACTGAAGTTTATCCGCTGTTTCAGTTTCTCTAATTCTGCCTGCTCTGGGACAGACATCTGACTCATGTATCTACTGTGTGGGAATGTATGTGGAGTCTTCGTTCTTCGCCTTCCAGCTCCTGGTGACGACTCCGGAGAAATATCATTAGTTACTCTTTTATCACTTTCTACACCAAACTTTTTCTTATTCTTTTCTGATGATCTATTTGCTTTCTTCTGTTGGCCACCCCAATCCTTTAAAAAAAGTAAAAGAAAAAGTTAACCTGGTCTCTATCAAACCAGGAAAATAGTTTGGTATAATTAAAAAGTTTTGGTCAGTTTTAAAATTAAAAATGACAAAACATTTTTGACAGACTTACACTCCTAAAGACAATTATTTACTTCTATTTACCCATTTTTCCCTCATTACATCTACCCTAATTTTATAGCCCATCCTTCTGAAAATAGATTATTTTCTTATCAAGATCACTAACAAATACAAATCCTCAAATGCCAACCCTAAAATCAATCTGAGTATTTCCAAGAGGATTTTTTACACTGTTATTTTCTATTATAAATAGAGAAATAAATTAAATACCTTTACTGACCTCCCATAAACTCGGTATGTATCATAAAAAGATCTGAAATCCAATCAACCTAGGTTCTAAAACTAATTACTGTTTTCTGAAAAAACACTCCCCTGCGTGACCCTAGGCTATTTATTTCACTTCCTATAGTCTCAGTTTCCTAATCTCTAAAACAGTGTCACCTTCAAAATAGGATTAAAAAGAATTAGTACCTAGCATTTAGCAAGCAATAAATATAACTTTCATTTTTATAGATAAAAATGTACATGATAATAGCTAATACGGAATTACAAAAGTGCTTATAGTTTTAACTGGAAAACATTTTTATTTACTTCATTATACCCACATAACCTAATTCATTCAACAAAAAGGTCTGTAAATTCCCACTTTATCCAATTGGAAGACTCTTTTAGTTACTAGTATAGCAAACCACTTGGGATATTTTCCTTATTTTAACAAAACTCCCTTCTTTATGAATTGTCCTTCCACCCAGTCTATGAGTGAATATTTCTGCCAACCTGTTACACTACTTACCTCACCCCATCCTCGCCACAGAAGACTGAAAAAAGAAACATATCTAATCCAAATTAGCATAATCATACTTTAAAATTTCAAATTGGAACTAAGAGATAACTGGTCAGTACATAACTGCAACCATAATTTAAAACTTTACAACGACGGGACAGCCACAATATATCACATGGACCAGAGGAGAGAAAACTGGTCTGTAAAGAGAAAGCTGTGTTAGGCAGATGCACTCAGAAGCAGAGTTAGGGTGGTGAAAATTCTTGACAACTTTCCAATTCCTTCTCCCAGTCCCTTCCTAAAACCCAGCTGCATGCCTTAAACATGATTTCCATAAAAAAACACTTTTACATCTTTATATAATAGTAAATCTTCCTTCTGGCTTAAAAGCTAACTCAATTTGATTTCTGTGTCTTCAATTAATATAATAAACAGCCCAGGGACCCTTAATATCTTGGCCAGAAAGTGTTTACAAAGAGCATCGGTGAGCTAAATTTGGTCAGGGGGCAAATTGCATTTTAACATTAATAGCCAACAACACACCATGAAGAGTAAGGTATCATACCATATTGTTGAGCCTGTCATCAACATTCTCATTGCTCCAATTTGGTAAATCCTGATCATTCATGCCATCTTCAAAAGGACCTCCTCCTGTGGCCATACTGGCTTTAACAATTAACTCTCTGCAAAACAAGTTAAGAACTGAGCTTTAACACATAAAAACAAACTCGTTTTTTAAATCACTCCAAGAAGTGTAGCAATACAATCACTGAAGCACTGATTTTATGAACTAAAATGAGGCACTGTCAACCACATCACAAACAAACTGATTTAGCTGCGATAGGCATATTATGATTAAAATGAGTTGGTAGTTGGAATGACAGAGAAAGGAAAATCCCTGAATATACCTTATGCGCACTAGTCTGCATACTAAGTAAGATTACTTACTTAATTCAACACAGTCCCAAAAGGTAGAACGATAAGGTAGGAAAAATGTCATAAACAGCTAGAACCAGAACTTCTCTCAGGAAAGAAAGTATCTCTGTTCTGACAATGGACTTGGGATGAAGATGATACTCTGAATACAGGCATTAGTCCTGTGCCAAAGATTCAAAGAGGGGAGAACTGCGCTGCAAGAAACAAGAAGAAAGTTTGGTTTTATCAGGAAGGAAGGTACGATACTAAGATGATAAGAAGGTGGGGAAAGAGAAGCAGGACTAGGGCCAAAAAATCCAAAAGTGCAGTGGCTAGAAGACATTTTAAGAATAGCGATGCTTACTACCCTACTTTAATTTGTATTAGTGCTTTCTCTAAATCTTGTTAAAGACTACCACACTCAAATCCTCCCCATAAAAATGGGGTTTTTGCTTGCATATGTGAAAATCAAGAAAGGGACTGAATTTCATACCTGGGTCAAAGAGATGAGAAAAAGCAGCAGCAATGGTGGAAGTAGAGGTTCAAAGGCAGAGATGATCATCAGAAAATAGTATTTCTGCATAATCTTGCGGAAGACTTTGGATTTCTACTAGCTGTGGAATTGTACAGGTTGAAGGGGTGCTAGTTGAAAGAGGAGAGGTTGAGATAATTTTATCTAAAATTCAAGGGACAGGAAAAGCCATTAAACTACAAACAAAAGCACTGACACTCGAAAGAGACAGTTTGGCCAAGGTCATTCAGCTAAAAATGGCAATAAAAAATATTAATAGGCTGGTTGCAGCGGCTCATGCCTGTAATCCCAGCACTTTGAGAGGCTGAGATGAGCAGATCACTTGAGATCAAGAGTTCAAGACCAGCCTGGCCAACATGGTGAAACCCCATCTCTACTAAAAATACAAAATTAGCCGGGCATGGTGGCAGGTGCCTGTAATCCCTGCTACTTGGGAGCCTGAGGCAGGAGAATTGCTTCAACAGAGGAAGCCAAGGTGTAGTGAGCCAAGATTGCGCCATTGCACTCCAGCCTGGGCAACGAACGAAACTCCATCTCAAAAAAAAAAAAAAAAAAAAAATTAAAAATTAAATAAATAGTAATAATTATAAAAACCCAAGTTGCTTTAATTCTGAGATCTTAACTCATCCCATTCA